ACCCACACACCTACAGTCAATTCATCTACATCAAAGCAAGAATATACAATGAAGAAAAGACAATCTCTTCAGTAATTGGTGTTGGGAAAGTTGGACAGCTTTATGTAAACCAATGAAGTTAGAACAGTCCCTCACAACATACATAAAAATAAACTCAAAAAGGTTTAAAGACACAAATATAAAACACTACACCATAAACTACTGGAAGAGAACACAGGCAAAACATTCTCAAACATAAATTGTAGCATGTTTTTTTAGATCAGTGTGCAAAAGAACTAAAAGCAAAAATAAACAAATGGGACCTAATCAAATGTAAAAGCTTTTGCACAGCAAAGAAAACCATCAACAAAACGAAAAGACCACCTGCAGAATGGGAGAAAATATTTGCAAATGATGCGACTGACAAAGGGTTAATATATGAAATATACAAACAGCTCATACAACTCAATACCAAAAATCCACAAACCCAATCAAAACGTAGGCAGAAGGCCTAAATAGACACTTCTCCAAAGAAGACATGCAGATGGCCAACAGGCACATGAAAAGATGCTCAACATCGCTAATTAGAGAAATGCAAACCAAAACCACAATGAGGTATAACCTCACACCAGTCAGAATGTCTATCATGAAAAAGTCTATAAATAATAAGTGCTGGAGAGGGTGTGGAGACAAGGGAACCTTCGTACACTGTTGGTGGGAATGTACATTGGTGCAGCCACTATGGAAAATAGTACGGAGGTTCCTTAAAAAACCAAAAATAGAACTACCATATAATCCAGCAATCCTACTCCTGGGCATATATCTGGCAAAGACAAAAACTCTAATTTAAAAAGATACATGCACCCCAATGTTCACAGCAACACTATTTACAATAGCCAAGACATGGAAACAACCCAAGTGCCCATCCACAGATGACTGGCTCAAGATGTGATATACATATGCAATGGAGTATTACTCAGCCATAAAAAGAATAAAATATTGTCATTTGCAGCAACATGGATGGACCTACAGAATATCACACTAAGTGAATTAAGTCAGACAGAGAAAGAAATATCATTTATATGTGGAATCTGAAAAAATATATATAATTTGAATCTATATACAAATTAGAAGCAGACTCACAGACAGAAAACTTATGGTTACCAATGTGGAAAGGGAGATGAAGGGATAAATTAGGAGTATGGTATTAACACTATATGTAAGATAGACACATAACATGAATTTACTGTATATATACAGGAAACTATATTCAATCTTATAACTTATAATGGAAAATAATCTGAAAAAATATACATAGATATAACGGAATCACTTTGCTGTATACCTGAAACTAACACAATATTGTAAATCTACTTCAATCAAAAAATAAAAATAAAATCCAAACTGGCATCCTCGTGTTCTAGACAGTCATCAAGGGGATGGGGGAGGCCCCCAGGCAGTCTGAGTGAGGCAAGTGGGGTCTGGGGAACTGCTCTTGACCTATTCATCATGGGAGGGGGTGGTTCTGAAACCTGTGGTTGTGGCCACTTGGTAGCAAAGGTGGCTCTGTCCAGAGCACCCTCCCTGCTCCTCGCTCCCTTTCTTCTTTCCCACCTCCTGCTCCTTCACAAAGGCTCAGCTCAGGGCTGCAGGAAGCCTTCTCTGAACCCCCATCTGGGGTTAGATGTCCCTCCTCTGTCACCCATGACACTGAAGCACCCCTTTGCAACAATGTGGAGAATTTCATGTGTCAGGGGTTTCCTGTAAGAGAAAGCAACCACACTGAGCGACGGGCTCTGTCTCCTGAGCGGCAGGCATGGAGGAGGCCCAGGAACATGGAGCTGCTGGGCCTTTGATGAGCAGCATCCTATAGCCCATGGCCCGGCCTGCAAAGGGAAGCGGAAGTCCAAGGGGGCATTGGCAGGAGGCTGTGAGGCCTGGAGAGAGAACTGCTAGGGCCTATTTTAAGACAAGAGTCACGAGTGAGGGTTCCAGAGCATTGAGGGCATGGAGAGACGTAAGAGGAGTTTTGCAGAAAGTATAAGAGACGGTGATACTGGTGACAGGGTTTACGAATGGGATCACCTTTACCCTTTTTCAAGAAACACAAACACAGATTGACCTTGCTCTGGTATTTAATTCTGGCTGCTGGACTACCAGCTGTTGGATGCCACAAAAGGTAGAGACTGGGTCATGTGGGACCAAAGGGTTTGTTGCACAGACACTACTGTCACCTTGCAGCCTCTTCAGTCTTACCACCTGCCTATCTCCTGTGCACTCCTCGAAGGCAGGAACCCTGGCGTCCTTGTGCCCCCAGCACCTGACACAGTGCCTGCATGAGGTGGTTGCTCACTCAATCTGGGTTGTTTGATTGTAAGATTAAGTGAGGAGAGAAGAGAAATGGCACCAGTGGATTTGGGGAGCAAGAGGGAAGAGTGAAGAGAGGCCCAGAGTTGCCCAGGTCACAGAATCCCAGTAGGGCCAAAGGAGGAGTGGATGGGAGAGCGCTGGACAACTGGGAGGACACGGCATGAGCGCCGAATTGGGGGAGATGGGTGGAGGCCCAGAAGTCAACACTCATGGTGGGAAATCTCCCTCTGTGTCCCCATTTAGTGTTCTCACATTGGTCCTTTCATCAGGCTTAATGAATTCCTGGGATGTGACAGTGGTGCCCATAAAACTCCCAGTATGTGGGTGGAGGATGCCCTCAACGTTCCATTAGCCCTGCTCAGTGGGACCGAGAGGGATGATCTTGAAGCACAGGCCGAGTGAGAAAGAGATACTTAGAGAAGTAGTGAGCTGTGCATCACTGGAGGCATGCCAGCAGAGGCTGTGCAACCTCGAGATGAAATTTGAGCAAGTTGGGAGCTCGCACGGCCTGACCTACACATCCCTGAGAACCCTGGGATTCTAGATTTCCAAGCCCATTCTCTGCCCTTTTCTCCATCACTAACTCGACTGAGAAGCATTTTCTCTCTGCATCTGAGCATTTTCAGGTCCTACTTCTAGGAAGGAGCCTCCTCTTTAAAGACTCTAGGACCACGATGATGTGAAAATCCCTTCCATACTCTCATCGCTGTCCCTCTCCCTCTCCCCATGTGGTGATCTCAGTTCCCTCTGAGTAGTGCTATAGGCCACACCGAGCATCCCACAGGCAGAGACCCAGAGAGGAGAGAGATGGCTCTGGAAAAGGACATCAGGCTGGACCTGGCCTGGAAGGTTGTAAAAAGGAGCTGGACGGAAACTCATGCTGCCGCAGGGATTTGACTTGTGGCTCTTGCCCATGTGCTGGTCAGATCCCAGATCAAACCACACATATGGGCTGAAACCCTGAGAAGGGATGGAGCTTAATCAAAGAAGCACTAGAAAAGACTAATCCTTAAAAAAACAATACAGCCAACATTTAAAAAAAAGATAAATAATCTTAGCAAAACGGAGAAGGAACCATCTTGACCCAACCAGGATAACTGTTACCAGTGCCAAAAGGTGCTTGCAGTGATTTTTCTTAAAAAGAAAAAAAAAAAAGAAAGAAAAAAAAGATGTTATCAATAAACACTACTGATGCTCTGGGCTACAACTGAGTGAGTGTAATCCATGAAGTCCTTGGTCACAGGGTGACACCAGGTTGGTTGAAGCCCTCTCCGGGCTCAGCCCACAGCGCACTGCCTGGCCAGCGCTGGTGCCGGCACAGGAGCCCTGCCGGCCCTGGCTTGGGGGTGTTCAGCTCCCTAGAGACACCTCCCCGATGCTTCTTGCTGCACAAAGAGCAGTGGGGCCTTTCTCTCTGAAATAAGGGTATTAAACCCAGTTACCCTCATCCCTTCCCAGCTTTCCTTTCACTTCCAGTTACTCTTGGGATACGTGGGAGAGGCAGGGGAAGTATGCAGGTGGGAGCATCTCTGCGGGAGCTCTGAGGACTTACGGTTCAGAAACAGGCGCTTACAGAGGGTCTTCACTTTTACAACCTCACTGAGCTTACAGCAGTGTGCCAACCACCCCCGCCTCCCTCCGCCCCCCAAAGATGGAAATGCAAGGGACTATTATCTCCATGGTACATGTAGGGTAAACTGAGGCTCAGGGAGCTCAAGTTATTTGCTTAAGCTTGCCTAGCTTGAAAGTGGTAGTACCAATACTATAGCAAAGGACTCCTGGCTCCCAACTATTCTGTCATCCAGCAAGTCTTTATTTGGTTCCTACTGTGTATCAAACACTGTTCTAGGCACTAGAGATACAGTAGTGATCAAGACAGACGTGGTCTTGATGCCTCATGGACCTTACTGCCTAATGAGAAAAGACAGAAAACAAAAAAGTAAACAAATAAACAAGCAAAAGAGAGGGATTAAGGCTTTCTTGTGTGTGTTTTGGCTCAAGCAATTTGGTGAATGCTGCCTTTAAGATAAAGACTTAGACACCTGCACCCCAATGTTCATAGCAGCACTATTTACAATAGCCAAAACATGGAAACAGCCTAGATGTCCATCAACAGGTGACTGGATAAATATGTGGTATATTTATACAATGGAATACTACTCAGCCATAAAAACCGACAACATAATGCCATTTGCAGCAACATGGATGTTCCTGGAGAATGTCATTCTAAGTGAAGTAAGCCAGAAAGAGAAAGAAAAATGCCATATGAGATCGCTCATATGTGGAATCTAAAAAACAAAAACAAAAACAAACAAACAACAAAAAACAAAGCGTAAATTCAAAACAGAAATAGACTCATAGACATAGAATACAAACTTGTGGTTGCCAAGGGGGCGGCGGGTGGGAAGGGATAGAAGGAATTTCAAAATTGTAGAATAGATAAACAAGATTATACTGTGTAGCACAGGGAAATATATACAAAATCTTATGGTAGCTCACAGAGAAAAAAATGGGACAATGAATATATATATGTTCATGTATGACTGAAAAATTGTGCTGAACACTGGAATTTGACACACTGTAAAATGATTATAAATCAATAAAAAGTTTTAAAAAAAAAGATAAAGACTTAGAAGCAGTTTTTTTTTTAAAGGGGAGAGGAAGAAATCATGTCTTGTTGATGATAAAGATGAGATGTTTATTAAAACAGCCAAGTATAGATCTCAAATATACTGTTGGAATTCATGGGAGAGGCTGATTATGGGCTATCAGTCTGAGGGTCAGATTTATGGTTTCAGGATGGGTAAGTGAGGACGTATTGCACCCTCCTTCTCTTCTTGAAAATCACCTCCAATATAAAACAAAATCCTGAAATAAAACCCCAAGACTGATGAAGGGAGGAGGTATCTGTAACCTGAAACCACAACACATGAAGATGGGAAGCAGACAGGGAAACAAGAAATGATCAGCAGAGAAGAGAAAGCTCTAGTCTAAAATGCCAGAAGGTAGAGGGTACCAGCAGGAAGGGAGCTGGTCTACCCTGCAAGCACAGGAGCAGGAGGTGGGGGGGGGCATGAGATAGGAAAGGTGGGAGTGAGCCCAGGGGAATGGGGGCTGACGACAGGGAGGGGATTTTGAAAATCTATGTAAGGAGAGGTAGTCTTTGCTCAGATTCCCACCGATGGGTACCCTTTCCCCAACCTGGCAGGAGACTGGCAGGAAGTTTGTTTTCCGGATAATGAACTAGGGAAGCCTGAGAGTGGGGAGCGCAGCAACGAAGCCCTAAGAACAACAGATTAAGCAAGAATCTGCAACCTGGCAGGTGAGCCTGCCCCAGCCTCTGCCCCAGCCTCTCCCCCAGAAGCTAGGCATCTACCCTCGGGCAGGCGGTCGGAGGAGCAGCTTTCTATTCTCTGGAGAAACTGAACTGCCCGGGAATACCTGTCACTGCTGACTTTGGGGGACCTGGGTGAAAATACCAGACTATGATCACCCCATAAGGAAGCTCACCAGTCTCCTAATCCTACGCGTGTCCCAGGGTTTCCTACAACACTTGAACACAAAGGCACAGTTAAGTTCCATCAAATATTTGAGGAGAGCCTCCGACACAGAACTTTATATCAAAACAATCAGAAAAAGGCACCCAGAAGCAGCAGATAATACCCAGATAAAGAAGATGTCAAAATAAATGATGTCCTCAGAAAGATGAGATGGAACTGAATCCATGAGACACAAATAGAAGCTATAAAGAAAAGGAACAGGCAGAGATCATAGCATACTCTTAGAAATCAGAAATGATAGCCAAAATAAATTTAATAACAGAGTTGGATGATAAATTTTGGGGACATCTCCAGAAAATGGGAGAGGGAGGAGACAAAGGTGGAAAACAGTAAAGTTTTTTTTTAATTAGTTCATTTCAGAGGTTCAATAGGAGTTCTAGAAAGAAACTAGAGAAAGAAGGAGGAAGGATATTACCAAAGAAATAAATAAGACACGTAAGAAAATAGAAGAAATAATTTCCCAGAACCGGAGGACATAATGCCCTGTCCATACACTGCAAGAAAGCCCATATCACTGCAATCAATATGAAATTTAAGAATGCCAGAGATAAAGAGAAAAATCCGAAAAACTTCCAGTCAAGTGTGAAGATGGAACAAAGACATTTTCAGACACAAAAAATCAGAACATTTGCCTCCCACGCATCTCTCACAGGAAGCTTTGGGGGAAAACGTCCCCCAAAGAAAGGCGAAGGCACAGGAGTCAGGCAGGTGGGGTCCGATCCAGCCGAGGGGGGCAGGGAGCCCAGCTGCACAGCACGCCCAGAGTATCATTCGGAACAGGAGGTCCAAGGGGTCTGGCGGGAAAATAGAACTCATAAAATAACAGTGACTTATTTGATCAAAAAATTGTATTGCTAGGCCTGAGGTAGTGTAGGAAGATCAAGCCAGATAAAGAGAACTAAAACTTTTTTTTTTCCTGGAGTTAATCATTTTCATTTGACGAAGGAAGAAAATACATTCATTTGACCTAACAGTGAATGATATTAACATATTGATATAAATAAGATACTATTACAGATTTCCTTAAAACTCACACATAAGGAGGGAGGTGCCAAATAAAAACTGTCCCTCGCCATCTGGTTCTGTAAGAAAGAAGTCACTAGCCACTGCAGGCGCTGACTTGCAACACATCCTGAAAGGAGTTCAGGGTGGAGATCGGGAATGAGGCACTCTGTGCTCTGGGAATAACTGGCAGAACAGGACTTTAGACAGATATTTTCAGGAGAAAATTTTATGAGCCCAATTTCTCGCATCTTCTCCTATCTAAAGCACTAAATAAGCACTAAAAGTCATTAAGGGAGACATCTGCTCCTCGTGACTAGCAGCAACTCTCTGCCAAAATGTGTGCTTGATTGCACGTACCTCCTTCACCAAAAACATACGTAGTACTGACCTCCCTCCCCACCTCTTCAGAGCAGCTCCTCAGAGCTATCTGAGAGGCCGTCACATGGGCTATAGTCCTCACTTTGCCCCAAATAAAACTTTGCTCACTATTTCCACGTTGTCCATTTGTTTTTCAGCCGACAGAGCGAAAGGGATGTCAAATACTTTAAATCCTTATTTACTATCAGACGTTAACAGACATTATATAAAATTGATCATCAAAAGCTAGCAAGATGCATATTGTTTAGAAATATGGAGGGAAATAGTGGGAAGAAGCTAGAGGCACTGAAAGATATAGTTTCTGAGGACTTACGAGGAAGGGTAGACAAGATACTGCAGGTTTTTAAGAGAAGTTTTTAGCACCGTTTGACTTTAAGAAATGATTTGCATGCAATGCTTTGACAAAAATAAGAACTCATGGCAAAGAGAGGATGTTTAAAGTCTCAGGACTGATTGAAATCCTTAGGAAGGATGTAAACAGCAAGGCTGTGAGGGCCCAGGACCAGGCCATGAACACTCCGACATTTAGATGCTAATCTGAGGAGGAGGCACAGTTAGCACTCAGTGCTGGGGACTGGGATGGGTGGGAAACAAGAAGAGGGAAGGGACCAGAGGAGCCAAGAGGAGGAGGAGGGAATGGTAGCTGAATGCTGTGGCTCTGGAAAATAAAGTTGGGAGAAAGTTATTCTTTATGGTATATGAATGCAGTAGAATTAAAGATGGCTTTTTAAACTGTATAATTCAGACTCAGCTAAATCAGCCTGGCCTTCTCCCCCTAGTATAGATTTAAAACCTTTGGCTGTCATATCACTAGCAATCCCATCTCATCGCCTACCCTCAGTAGAGAACAACTTTCTCCCCTCTGCCCCAAATCGAATTTGTGCTGGAGCTGGCTCAGACCAGCTTGAGAGAGCTGACTGTCAATTTGTCAGGGATTTTGCAATCTGGTTGTGTAACATTGTGATTTGTAATAAGAAATACGTTGCCCTGTTTCTAACTCAGAGCTTCTAAACCCTCAAGTGGCAGAGATCAAGGTGTTTTTCGTTATGTTAATCAGGTGACTTTTGGGATGCCCCCAGGTCACCTGAGGACGGGGGCTGGTTCCCAGAAGAAACCACCCCATGATTGGAGGCTGGAATTTTCAGTGCAGCCTCTCCCATCTTTCTACCCCTGGGGAGGGAAGAGGGGGGCTGAAGGTTGAATCAATCACCAAAGGCCAATGATTTAATCAAACGCCTATATATGAAGCCTCCACAAAACCCCAAAAGGATGGAGTTTGGAGAGCTTTCTGGTTGAACACGTGGAGATTCAGGTAGAATGGCACACCTGGGGAGAGCCTGGGAGCCCTTCCCACGTAGGTCGCCCTAAGTACATCTTCCATCTGGTTGGTCCTGAGTTACAATCCTTTAATAATAAACTGGTACTCTAGCAAGTAAAATGTTTCTCTGAATTCTATGAACCGCTCTAGCAAATTAGCTGAATCCAAGAAGAGGGGTCATGGGAACCTCTGATCTATAGCTGGTTGGTCACAAGCACAGGTGACAATCTGGATTTGTGACTGGCATCTAAAGTTGAGGAGGGGCATTCTTGTGAGACTGAGCCCTTAACCTGGGGGATCTGATGCTACCTCTGAGTAGAGTGTCGGAATTGAGTTAAAACACCCAGGTGGTGTCTGGAGAATTGTTTTTTGGTGTGGGGGCCCCCAGGCCCCCATGCCACGCATGTACACCATGCATTAGAACCACCTTTTAGGTTGTTAAATATAACCATCATTAAAGATTAAACTATAAACTTTCAATTAAATTATCTTAAAAGCAAAAATAACCAATACTCAAAACTTATCACTTCCTAATTATATGACACCATTTTACAGTTCTTTATGCTGTTGAGGTTATCTGTATCTGTACGGTGGAAATACCATCCAAAAGCACGCTACTGGGCATCTTTCTTGACTCTGCATTGGTGACATCATGTTGGTAGCTTGAATTAAACCACAGTGGGAATATTTAGACCCCGAGAAACTGGCAACCACCACAAAGCTGGGCTTTTCCCCACAGATTGCCAGTGGTTAAACATATACCAGTACATCACTGCTTCTACAATTCTTCGCGTGTTCCCGTGAGATATACAGATGGATGAATGGGTAGGTGGCTGGTGGGTGGGTTGGCTGTGTGGCCGGCTGGCTGGAAGGCCCCTCCCCGCTTTCTGCCAGTCACTGGAGCCTAAAGACCACATTCCCAGGGCACAAAGAGCAGAGCAACATGAGGAAGGGCTGACTTTAGCTGCCAGTTGTCTGTTCTTAGCTGAAAAGTATCACCAACCTGCTCAGTCTCGTCCAAGCATGGAGAACAAACGGCTTGCTTTAGAAGTGAGATATCTCCACCGATATTGCTAAGAGAAGGAAAGCCTTTCATGCAGAGGGAAGAGGGTACTTTTTATCCTTTTATGCTTGTATATGGCCTTATTGTCAAGCTGTCCCCTGCCCGTTCTCTGCCCACCGCACCCCAGTGCTGGGGGTTGACAGCACACTCCTCACTGACACACTTCTTATTTCCATGGAGCCTCTGCCGCAGCTAGGCTGAGGGAAGAGCTAGGAACACAGCTCAGATCATACAGAAATGGCTGATAAAACAAACAAAACTAAGGCAGACGCTGGTGCAACAGAATATGAAGGGTGCAGCATAACCTGGGACTCCCCAATGAGAGGTATGAATGGCAGCGGGGTGGCATGTACCCGATTCCCCTGGAGAAGCAACACTGGGCACGTTTACTCACAAGCACTCACCCCCACCCCATCTTGCTCAAGAACGTCAGGAAATACCTCTTACCATTTTCCGGGCTCCTTGAAATGCTGGAGGGCTGGGTTCTCATCCCAGCTGTTTCTCTGTGACACTGGTATGTTAATTCACCCCTCCGGGCCTCTGTTTTCTATCTGTAAAGTAACAGAGTGAGCTTAGATCAGCATCTCTCAGAACACATTAATGGCTATTAAAAAAAGATTTTGTAATCAGAAGTCAAAAGATTTTTGGGGCAAAATGTTTGGAAAGCCCTATACCCACACTGGATCCCTTTCTTGGAGAGTCACAATGCTCTTGTGTACATATTAGAGGCTCTGAGAAGTCCTGCAGGAGAGAACTATGTTTGTTTTCATTCTAAGACATCTCAAATTTATTTCATGACAGAATCCTTTTTAAAGAATTGTTGTTTTGGAGTATCTTCAAGGATGGGTAGGGGGTCCCTTTAGCATGATCTACCTGATTCCAGGAGTAATTATGGTCATTTCATGTTTATTTCCAAGTCACTGGCCACAGGGTAAAGTGGGACTGGATGGAACAAACATTGTGGGTCTCCTCTGTTCCAGGTGCTTTTTATATCTACCATGTTATTTAAACCTAATGAAAGACTCTGAAAGGAGATCATATTGCATCAATTTAACAGATGAAAAATAGAAGGTTTAATGATGTTAAGTTACTGACCTAAAGCCTCACAGGCAGCAAGTGGCAGAGTTGAGATGTGTCCAGAGTGTCTGGTTCTGACCTCTTGACCTTCGCTCCCCACTGGGCATCTCCCAGGAGGTTAGACAGACCTGGACTTGGCTTGTGCTCTTTCTCACTTTCTGGGCATGTGCTGCAGCTGTTGCGTTGCCTTCTGGGCCTGGGCAAGCCCTCCCCAGCCATGAGGCTCCCGTATTCAGCCCCCAAGGGCAACTGCCCCTATCTCTGGTCTGCAGCTGCTCTGTGGCCTGGCTGCCACCTTGCACTCCAGGCTCACCAAGTATTTGGTTCTCCTCCATTTCTGCCTGGTATCCTCCACCTCACCTCCCACCTGAAGTCTCCCCCAGCTCTCCCACTGCCCTCTCTGCACTCCCTCCCCTTTCTCGTTCCTGGCACTCAGAAGCAGTCTTAGAGACATCCCTGTGCTTTCTTTTCCTCAAGACTGTTCCTTGAGAACAGGGGCTGTGTCCCCCAGTTGCTGGCTCTGGGGTTACTCTGGGAAGCCTGGGGTCAGCCCAGCACTTCCTTGAGTGTGTCGACGAGTTTCTGGGACCCTGCTCCTGGTCCCTGTACACCCTCACCCCAACCCTGATCCCTGAGAGACAGAAGGGTGAGTAGATGGAAGCTTGGTAGATAGAAGAGTGACACTGGCTTCAGACGGACCAGCCCTGACCCTCCACCATAACCTCTCTGAGCCTCACCTGTGAGACGGAGATCCCGGGGTGGCCTTGAAAACTGAACAGAATAAGGCACCTGGAGTTCTCAGCACCAGGCTCTGCACACAGTGAGTGAGCGATACAGGCAGAGAATGAAGACGGCTCTGCTGAAGACAACTCAGGGCCAGAGCGAGCCCTCCAAGGCTGCTGCTCAAGGCTAGGCTCTCTGGGAAGTGTGCTCGGGATGAAGATCAGCAAACGGGGTGTGTACTGGAGGGAGCTGGTAGGATCCACACCTGTGAGAGGGAAGAGCCAGAAGCAGGACTGTGTTAAAGGAAGAAGCTGGAGTTTCAGCTGACTCCGAGGGCCTGGGGTCTGGAGCGGTGGGGGTGGAGGGGGTGGCGAGGCTTCAGTATTGTCCTGTGTTGGGGTGACGGGCCAGACATTTACACCCTGAAGTTGATCACTCACCTACTGTGGGACACCGAGAGGTGGGTGAGCCCTCGCTGCCAGCAGGTCTCTTCAGCCCGGCCCAGCCGCACGGGGAAGAGAGTGGAGGCGTCTTCTGGCTGTGCTCTCAGCAACAGGGATGAATCCTTTCTTCTAAAGGGGGTCTGAGCAGCCCATCGTGGTGCCCAACCCAGAAGTCCTCGAGAGCAGTGGTTCTCAAACTCGAATCACCTGGAGGGTTTTAAAGCATTTCTGGAATTGGAGCTCTGGAGTTTCTGATTCGTCAGGTCCGGAGTGGGCCAGAGAATTTGCTCCAGGTGGTGCTGCTGCTGCCCCGGGGACCACGTGCTGAGCACGACTGTTACAACCCCCTCACACTCTGCGGATGGGGGATTACTTGGGGACTGTGTGATATTCTGTACCCAAATAGTCTCTTATCCAAGGGTTTTTGCATCCGATGACTTGCTTGCGTGAATTATTCTAACAGTGGTTGCAAATGGTATTTTCTCTAATTCCTTCTGAGTTTATTAGCTGGCATTTTACTATAAAGAGGAGCTTTCTCTCTCTTTACCCTTCAGACCAGTGGCTCTATATTTGAATTACCTGGAGCTTTTAAAAATAATTAAAGTCTGCCTCCCACCCTCCCATTCTGATTTAATTGATCTCATTGGGGCATGAGCGTCAATGTATTTTTAAAGTTCCCAGGTGATTCTGCTGTGTAGTTTGGGCTGAGAGCCTGCTCTGAGTACTGGAGAGCCACGGAAAAGAGTTCGATGGAGGGGAGTGAAGGCCCAGTTGGAGTTTCAGAAAGGGCCCTCTGGCTGCAGAGGGGAAGGCTCTTTCAAGTGGGGAGGGCTGGGGGCGGGGAGTCTAGTGGAGTGAGTGCGTTTGCAATAATCCTGCTGAAACACCATAAAGGAGAAACCGAAGAAAAAAGTTCATGTGCAAAAGCATTTTGATGCCGCAGTCCTGGGAGTTGTCTTTGAGGAAGTTGTGGGCTGAAGTTAACAAACAAACAAAAATTAATAGGCAAGCCTTTCTCTTTTTCATTTGTGGCGTGGCCCGTGTTTCAAGCATTTTCACATCCCTCCATACTCATACTTAGAAGCATTTGGGAAGATAGCAGGACTGAAGTTGAGGGTGAGGCGTGTATCCCCCACCATGTTTGCTCTCCAGTCCCCCAGAGCTGTGAGGTCCCATGAAATAATACTTGCAAAAGCCAACTGGCTATGAAACCAGCTCCTTTCTTTGCCTCCCCACCCTTGCCGAGGCCCCAGCTTCAGAGGCCCCCCCTCACCACACTTTCCTCTCTCAGCCCCAGCTCTGGCTCCCTGGTAGTTTGCTCTGGGTCCTGTGACACCCTAGAGCAGGCCCCTTTATGAACTGCCAAGCCCTGGCCACCCGGCCCTCTGCAGCCAAAGACTCACCCAAAAGGACCAAGCTTTTTTCTCTCCTTTGAGTTTTTCTCCCTTTCTTGGAGAATGTCAAACAGAGAAATGCAGTTTAGAGGAAATCAATATCCTCAGATGGAGAACTTGCTGCACTTACAGGAAATCAATTTGGCACAAATTGACAGAGCACCTGCTGTGGGTGGGGCCCTCAGCACCAGCCCCGGAGGGAATCAGAGTTGAATCAGCTCCCGCTAGGCCAGAGAAGATCACAGGCAGGAGGGGAGATGGACACTGGCATCAATAATTTATATAAAGCTGAAGAGTGTTGCCAAACCAGAACACCATTTACGCCTCTGAGCCGCCACTTCCTTACCTGCGGGATGCTGGCAATAATACCTACAAAACTTTGTTGTGTGGAAAACAGGAAATGAATGTTTAAAAATGCATGTGAAAGGACTTTGAAAGTCCTATCTGTGCTTCCCTATCCATAATGACCAATGTTACAATGGCGGGGCATGCGAAGGAGAGATTGGTTTAGAGCTGGGGGCTCTAGGCGTGTTTCTTGAAGGCTGGATTTGCACCTTAAAAATACTGTAATATTAGGTTTGACTGTTAGTACCAGAGAAATCCAAAATAGCAAATGGCTTAAGCAAAATACAAACCTCTTTCTTTTCATAGAACTATCCAGAGGTAGGGGGCCTATACTGCCAGCATAGCAGCTCCATGGGGTCAAGAACACATAGTATTCTTCTGCCTTGTTGCTCTTCTATATATTGCTTCTGACCCAAGACTACCTCATGGTCCAAAATGGCTGCTCCAGTTCTAGCCATTAAACCCACATTCCAGACATCAAGGAGGACAAGAAAAGGAGAAAGGTATATCCCTTCCCTTTAAAAAAAAAAAAAAGGCCCCGAAGTGGCACTTACCTATTGACTAGATCTTCGTCACATGGCCATATTTACTATAAGAAATGCTGGGAAATGTAGTCTTTATTCTGAGTGGCCATGTTCTTAGCTAAATATCCCATGGAACAGGAGAGAACAGCTATTGGGACCAACAAGCCTCAGCTGCTACAGCAGGGCAGGCCCCTGGCTGCCTGCAGGCTTTGTCTCCAGCTCATTTCATTCCTTTTTTTTTCCTGGTTGGTTCCATTTTTCTTTTTCTTTTTTTAAATTGAAGTATAGTGTGTCAATTTCTGGCATACATCATAGTGTTTCAAATACATACATGTATTTGTTTTTGTTTTCATATTCTTTTTCATTATAGGTTACTACAAGATATTGAATATAGTTCCCTGTACTACATAGAAGAAATTTGTTTTTATCTATTTTATATATAGTAGTTAGTATTTGCACATCTCAGACTCCCAATTTATCCCTTCCTACCCCTTCTCCTCCTGGCAACTATAAGTTTGTTTACTATGTCTGTGAGTCTGCTCCCATTTTGTAGATAAGTTCCTTAGTGTCTTCTTTTTACTTTTCTTTTTTTTCGATTCCATATGAGTGATCTCATCTCTTTTTGCTTTAATGAGACCTCTTTCTGCTGCCCTCCATCCCCCTTCAATTTGGTATCCAGAAGAACGAACCCACAAGGGATGGGCCGGCTGGCTCTGAATTCTGACTTCCCTGGGAAAGCACAGAAAGTTCCATACATTGTTTCAGCTGCTCCAGAAAGAGCTCTGCCAGGAGCAGACGGGTGACATGGGGGATTGTGTACTGATGTCTGCACAATATTGGTGGTGGCAGGAATCCAGTGATCTGAAGATTTTCCCCCTGAGAGGAGGGGTCCTCTTTGAGGTCCCAGGTGGGAAGGCCTCCTGAGGAGCTGATGGAGACTCGCACCTCCTCTCCCCGGTAGTGGGGAAGGCTGTCTCTTGGGTCCACCTCCGCTTTTCCCATGTAGACAGGTGTGGCCCAGGCCCAACCGGGCCCTGGGCTCATCTACCTGGGGAGGAGCTGGGTGAGTTGCAAAGAGAAGGTGTCTGGAGGATTCCACCTCTGCCTGCCTTAGGGCATCCAGGCTTCAGGAACAAGAGGTGTCCTGGGAGGCTCTGGTGTTCATCTCTGCCCACCACTGCCTGGCTGCCTACAAAGGCCTCCTCACCCAGCTCATAGCCTTGCCCTGGCCCCGTGCCTGCAGTGCCTGTGTCCTCTCCCAGCCTGGTGAAAAAGCCCATCCTACCTTCACTTACACTGATCCTTGCCTGGAATGAACCCCCTGCCCCTGCCGCTTTTCACCCCAGCCCCTCCTCCAAATCCCCCTGTGCCCTCCTGCCTAGGTTCTCTGCTTCTATCCCATTTGGCTGTGACCACCCACTACCTCCCACCTAGGATCCCCTTTGTGCTCAACACACACCTCTCCTAATAGGACCACTTTTGGTCTCAGGGTGGAGGTATTTGGCACCTGTTCTGAGTTCTGCCCTAGATGAAGACCCTTGAGGTAGAGGGCCCATTTCTGTGTTTTTTTCCCAATAAGGCCCTGGCCCAGAGCAGGTGCTTAGCAGCTGTGTGCTGAACGGACACTGGTGAGCAGAGCTTAGCCCATTCCCCCACTGCCCACTGAATGAGAAGCAGCATGGTGGTGAGCTATTAGAACCTCAAGGGTATAAGGGTGGATGTGATAAACTTGGTGGACCGGCTGGGAACTCAGCACTGTTTGCATGGGACATACACTCAGTTCCAAACAGCCTGGTTTCAAATAAGCTCATGGGAACACATCTTTGGTGATCCTGGGGACTCACTGCCTTCCCCTGTGCCAGGCCTGGGAGCCCTGTCGGGGCACCAGCCAAGATGGGAAGAACATGAACACTTCTGAAGCGGGAAGAAGCAGATGTGAAATGGAAAGTCCTCCAGCCCCTTGCCCCCGTCCTTTCAAACTATCAAGGCCTGAAACCACCTCCCACCCCGCCCTTCCTGCACTCAGGAAGCCCCAGCAATCCCACTGTGGCTGGGACTGCAGCTATTTCACTGTGTCCTAAACAGATTTCTCTACCTTGAAGGTCAACATTGCAGCATTTCCTAGATCAGAAATAAAATGATCAATCATTAGATCCAGTTACCAAGACCCACCTCTGGGTGTGCGGAAAGAACTGCATCACCTTCCCCTTCCTTTTTAACCTGCAGCAATTTCTGTGCAGTTAACCCCGTCTGACTTGGCGTTGACTCTGCCAGGTTCCTCTGCTCAAGGCTTACTGAACAAGCCCCTGCCTCACCTGATCCCCATCTCTGCTGATCCTCACTCAGACTTACAGCTTTGCTGTTGCTGTAATGCACCAATTAAACACTTAGTTTCAGGGTGAAAAGTGTACCCAGGACTGTTTCTATGCCTTCCCGCCCCGTGTTGAAAGAGGTAATTCACAATTGAAAGTGACCTATCTAAGTGAAGTAAGCCAGAAAGAGAAAGAAAAATACCATATGAGATCACACATATGTGGAATCTAAAAAAAAAAAAAGAACATAAATACAAAACAGAAACAGACTCATAGACATAGAATACAAACTTGTGGTTGCCAAGGGGGTGGGGGGTGGGAAGGGATAGACTGGGATTTCAAAATTTGTAGATACTGATAGGCATACGCAGAATAGATAAACAAGATTATACTGTACAGCACAGGGAAATGTATATAAGACCTTGTGGTAGCTTACAGTGAAAAAAAAATGTGACAATGAATATATGTATGTTCATGTATAACTGAAAAATTGTGCTCTACACTGGAATTTGACACAACATTGTAAAATGACTATTACTCAATAAAAAAATGTTAAAAAAAAAGTGACCTATCTGAGGAACTGTTTCTAGGACTAAAATCCTAGATTTTGCTCAGCTATTTGTTTTAGCATCTCCATTTTTTTACTGATAATATTTAACTTTTTTTAATCATAACTAGGTTCCATATCGAAGAGCATACTTAAGTATACAGCTCAGTGCATCTTTGCAAACAAGGCATACCTGTGTAACCACTCTGTCATTTTTAAAAGTCTTGATTTAGCCAAATAAGAGTCCATCAGGAGGGCAAGCCCCAACTGTGGTCCCAGATCAGAGCCTTTGTTCCATGCACTGGGCCTCACAGCAAGCCAGAAGGCAGGTTAGCTCCGCCCCTAGCGCAGAAGGGGAAGCACAGGCTCCGAGAGTACCGTCGCCAGGCTAGCTGAGCAGGGGGCTGGGGCTCAGACCGGCCCCCTGGCACCAAGTTTGACCTCTTCCTGCTGCCCCTGCCCATCCTCCGGCACTGCTCGTTGTGCTGCATGACCTGCTCTCTGGCCTTCCTGGAGCTGATGTGCCCGAAGTGTGGTCCCCAAACAGTGGCTGGATGGACAAACGGATGGGTTGACAGGGATGGCAGCAGCAAGGACAGCAAGTCTCTATTTTTCTTCACCTGCAGGTGTCCTTGGAAGGCCTTCTGCTGTCCAGCCACTGACCCCATAAACGTATCTTCTTGGCATCAGGTAGCAGACACTGCCCACTGAGCAGTGTCTGAGCACTGCCTCAGTCCGCTGGGAGACCAGAGCCCATGTATATCAATTGTCAGGTAACAAGCAGTGCTTTCCAAGCGTCTGTTGCATCCCTATCACCTGCATCGGGCTGGTGCATCACTCAGACACCTAACAAGGTCACGACGATATACCGGCCCATCAGAAGGATGCAGCCACAGAGCTGGAGCTGAGTCTCAGAGGCCCTGCCAGGTCAGGCGTCACCCTAGAGCAGCCAGATGGTGGGGTGGGGCTCTGGGGGAGGTGCTGGGCATCTGGGGGTGGGGGCCTCTCTGGAGCTTAGGCAGCAACCGTACAGAAGTATTTCAATACTTTAACAACTTGCCTGGGCACACGAGTGCATCCTGAGTGCAGCCCTGCTTGGAGACTGTGTGAAGAAAAGATCTATTCCTAGCTCCCAGGGAGCTTGCAACCCAGCTGAGGAGACAGGTGAGAGGTTCACAGCTGGAGAGAATCAACACTTCCATCTCAGCTGGTCAGTCCAGTTGCTCATTCACCCTCATGTCTCATGGGTCTGCTACGTGCCAGGCACTGGAGGATGACTACAAACTGGTCCTTGCCCTTAGGAGTGCACAGCTTACAGGAAGAACGAGGCAGCTAAACAGATAACTGCAGTGTCATCTTGTCTGTGTTGATACACTGAGTTTGAGATCACTTTAGAGCATCTTCCTGGGAAATACCAAGCTTACAGCCTTACAGAGTCACCTTTCCTAATTTCCTGTGTTTCAGACGAGGAGCCCAGGGTCTTTTTGGAATGGTTGTCTACCACTGTCACTTCTGGGGAAGCCCTGTTTCCTGGCAGTGTCTGATAGGGGATTTTCCAGGAACTCTGCAGAGCTCTCCTGCGAGAATCACATAGGAAATCCCCTTGTCAGTTCTAAAGGCCCAGTTATCGTACAGACAAATCACAGATTTACCAATGTGTAGAGGCTCACCTTCACTTACTCCATCCTGGGCACTGTTCTGAAGGAAAATGGATTTTGGATGTAAATGCTCTGTGATGATTCGGTGTTCCTGGGACATGAGTCCCTCAGGTTCCTTGCAAGCAGAGATTCAGGAACCAATGGCCAGGTTCACCCAACAGATGGGGGACCCTTCCCACCCTGAGAGGTGCCCCACATACCAAGGGAACCTGGGGTGCCGGTGACCCCTGGCCCTGGCTGCCTGGAGACCCTACCTCTTTCTGCCACTTCTGTGTCACAGGGAAATTCCAGGCTTCTCCAGAGACCATCTCAACTGCTTGGAATCCTGCTCTTTGACCTGTCTGGGCTGGTGCAGGCCTCGGAGGAAGGGAAAGTAAATAAATATGCATCCGTTTGATCACAGGCAGAACATTTCTTTCAACAGAAAGCTTCCTGAGGAAGAAAAGCAAAGGGGTTTGGAAGGAGAGTGCTGTGTGAGCACTGGCCAGTCCACGCCTTTGCTTGTCAAGGTTAGTGCTTGGTGTGCCCTGCAAAGCCTCTCCAGGAGTGGCCTCGTGGCCCTGCTGAGCCCTAGCACCGCATGGGTACCCCGGAGCCCTGCCCTGCCCACCCAGGTCCCTCCGGGCTGCACCTCCCTCTGGACCAGCAGGGGCAACTGAGGGGTCCATCCAGCTCCCTATGGCTTCCCAAGTGAAATGAGTCTTTGCCACTGAAGCCAGTAAGCCAGTCTCCCTCCAGGAGTTGGGTCTTCCTCAGGGCTGTGGAGGCAGTGCTGGGGCTGGTGGTAGGGCTGGGAAGCCAAACTCTGGTGTTCCCTATGAGGGTGTCATTGGACCTTTCAGGATTCTGAAAGAGAGAGGATGCTTGCATCTTTCTGGTTTCGGCCTTGGGAATCACTTGCTGAAACACTTGTCACTCCCCCTTTATATCTATACATCTCTGTCCTTGTCTGGCTCTAGCCAGACACCTTGTGTGGCCTTTAGATACTAAAGAACAGTAGGAGTCCCAGAAATCCTTTCCTGAAGTTCAAAGAAATCCACTGGTCTGCAGTCAAAGGCCCACTTGCTGATGAGCTGGTGAAAAGTCATGGTCTCTCACAAGCTCCACCCATAGATGATGTCTACTGTGGAGGTCCCGAGGGCACCTTAAAATGACCACGCAGAAAATTAACCCCCAACTTGCCCTTCTTCCCTCTTGTCCCACTCTACCCTATCCTTTCTTCTGCTAGACATCTGGGAACTCAAAGTTATTCCTCATCCCCCAATCCTCTGAACATTTAAAATCAGAATCTAGGCCATTATCTGATGTCCCAAAGATGCCCTTTGTGCTGAATCCCATTTCACCAGACTTGGTTAAATTGATCTCTTTTCATTAACTAATTAATTCATTCCAGATACTTCTAAAGTGCTGGGCACTGTGCTGGAGCTACAGTCACAGAGGTGAGGAGGACTCAGGCTAGGCAAAATCCTCCCCTGCCCTTGAGGGGCAGCCCTCAGAGGGCTCTATACTTTCTGTGCACCCATTCATCAGAAATCTGGATAGTTCGTAGCAGGAAACACAGGCCACACAATAATGGTCCATGTAAACAGCAGAGAATCAGAAGGTGGGAAAATGGAATAAAATGGGCTCTATAGGCATCCTCTATTTTTAGCAAATGGAGTTCATTCATTCAGGAAGCTTGATGGATAACTGAAGTGGGTCAACCAGGAAGGACACAGAATCCAGCAGCCCAGGGAGCTCCTAGCTGGGATAGCCCAGACCCTGTGCTGGAGCATCGTGTATAACAGCACATGTAATCCTCAGAACAACCCCTTGCAGGAGGTCCTCTGCTCATTTCCATTTTATAGATGAAAAAGCAGGGGAATTATGTGGCTGGCCCACAGTCACAGAGCTAGAGGCAGGATTCAAACACAGGTCTGTCTGACTCCAGTGTGTCTGTTAATTATGGCACAGAAAGGATTCCTTGTGTCCATCAGCTTCTTTTTAATCCAGGAAGACTAGGCGTTCACACACTGGCTCACCTAGCCTTTGAGTGCAGGGACGTATATTTAGCACCTACAAAGGAAGATCAGCCGTTATGTGTTTGTGGGTATTCTGGGTACTGACTGTTGACAGTTACCGGCCAGGCTTCATCTCAGGTTCTGTGCTGAAATCTCAGCCTGTATTTACCTTGCCCACAGAATGGCTCTGGAGATGGACTGGACTGGAAGGCAGGTGACTGGAGTTGTAATCCTGGGCTTGCAGGGGATTAGCAGTGTTACCTTGGAGAAGTCACTCTTCTCTGGTTTCAATTTCCCTGTTTGAAAATGAAAAAGGATGCAATACTTCTACTTCTCTGACAAGGAGAGAAGGACAGGTGCATCGAGAAGCGTGCCCAGGGGTGTTCATGGCAGTGCTGCACATGCTCGGGAAAACCTGAAGACACCCAGGGTAACCCCGGGTGGAAGCCGGCCTCCAAGTTGGCCCTCAATGACCCCACCTCCCGGCATTGTCCCAGGTGTAGTCCTCTCCCATCAAACCAGGGTTGTTATGCATGACCAACTGCCAACAGCACATGGCAGAGTGATGGCATGCCATTCTTCAGCTCGGCCTATAAATAGACAGCAGCTTCCTTCCTGGGTTCTCTCCCTCTTTCTCATCACTGGGGAAGCTGCCTTGTAGGCAGCCCTGTAGAAAGCCCCATGCAGAGAGGACTGAGTCTTCTTGCCAACACCCATGTAAGTGAGACACCTTATATGCCAATCTTTGACCCTCGGTCAAGTCTTTAGTTGACCGTAGCCCAGGCCACAGTTTGCCTGCAACCTCATAAAAGACCCTGATCCAGGACTGCCAGGAAAAGTTGTTCCCAGTTTCCTCACCTTAGAACTGTGTGAGATGATTAATGTGTATTGTTTTAAGCTGCCAAATTTGGGGGTTGTTAATTTGTTATACAGCAATAAATAATGAATATACCCTTATACTATAGAAAATTATGCAGCAGTTAAAAATGGAGATATGTGTGCTGATATGGAACAATTTCTAAGATAAATTGTTATGAGAAAGTAATAACTACAGAAAAACACACAGAGCTATAGCCCTTTTACATAAAACACCACCACCCCCCATTATATTTTATGTGCATTTGCATATGCATGCGCACATGCAGTAAATGAGCCATCATGCTATACCAGCTATTAACATCAGTTCACCTCTCAGCGAGGGGGTCAGAGGAGGACTTTTTTTTACTCAATATGTTGCACTTTTATTGTAGACTTTTACCATGATAATCTGTTCATGTATCACTTACACAATTAAAAAAAAAAACCTCTTTAAACAGAGAGGTTGGACTCTGTGATCAATGAAGTCTCTCTCAACTCTGCTGTTTTATAGTTCTATTACAACAGTCACTAGATGCAAATTGAAAGAATGAGGTAACATTTATTACCTCTTTGTTGGCAAGCATTGAACAGTTTGATAAATCAAGTATTGGCAATGATGTTCAGAAAACTGGTACTCTCATACACTGCTTCTGGAAGGATAAATTGAGAATCAATTGGGAAAGCTGGTTAGGATGGGCATAAGATAGTATCAACTAAAACAAAGCATGCAGACTCCCCCACCTTTGAGGTCTAGCACTTCTACTTCTAGATATTCATTCTTTTACACAGAAACATACTGGAAACCGGATGGTGTTATGATTATTGACATAAATGCTACCCTGTAAGGAGCGCTCTGTGACATACCTAAGGATGCAAATGACAGCAGAGCTTGCGAGAGCAAACACTGAGACAAAATTAAATGTCCGTAAATAAATGTTATTGTATTTTCATGCCACAGTATCCTATGAGACTATTAAAATGAATGAGCTAGACTTACATGTCACAATGTGGATAAATCTCTAAGACACAGCAAGTGAAAAAACATACTGCAGAATGTTACATATAATATGATACTATTTAAAACTATAAACATACAGTACCAACGTGTTTCCTAATGTTTTGATGAAAAATCATAGGAAAGGTCTGTCATGGTACAAGCCGAAGTCACAAAGCTAAGTGTCTGTGTCCCTGGAGAAGGGGAAGAGACTATCACTGAGGGATAATTGAAAGAGACTTAACCTTTGTCTGCAATGTTCTGATGTGATCAAACAGTTATAAAGCACTAGTAAGCGCTATGTAAGAAATGTACTTAAACATTCATGTGTCATTAAAAATTAAGTTAGAAATAGTCATTTGCTCGTACCAAGAAGAACTCTGGCTGGGAGAGTAGAAATTCTGATACTTTATGAGCAGCGTATCTCAACTCCGGCCAACTGCACTCAAGACCACTTGGAGCCTTAGGGATAAAAAGGATATTAGTCCCATCACACCCAGCAATTCTGATGTAACTGGTGAGTGCCTCTGATCTTGGTGCTTTTCAAAGGCTTCCAAGGTGATTCTAGTGGACAGGCAGGGCTGAGAACCCAAGATTTAGAGCAGCAGGCTCTGGAAAATTGTCACAGACAGTAGGACACTGAGGAGACATAATGATGCAGTCTCCTGGATTGGATGCTGGAACAAAAAAGAACATTAGTGAAATCCAAATAAAGTCTATAATTTAGTTAATAGTGTGTCCTCACATTAATCTCTCAGTTTTGATAAATGGACCCTAGTTATGTAAGACATGAACATGAGGGAAGCAGGGTAAAGGGTATAGGGGAACTCTGTACTCTCGCTACAACTCTTCTGTGAATCAAACTATTATTAAATAAAAAAGCCTTACATATCTTGGATAATTGTTCTGGTTATGTTTTAATTTTTTTGAAGTATAGTCAGTTTACAGTGTAGTATCAATTTCTGGTGTACAGCTTCTTGCTCAATTAAAAAAAAAACTTTCAGAGGGCAGAGATCAAGATAGCAGAGTAAGATGTGGAGCTCACCTCCCCCAACAAACACATCAAAAATACATCTACATGTGGAATAATTCTCACAGAAAACCAACCGAAAGCTGGCAGATCTCTTATATAAACAAAGCTGCAAGAAAAATCTCCACATAACCAAATAGGATGAAAAAATAAAAGGAATTGGAACAGAACCTGTGGCTCAGGGAGAACTGTGAAGGAAGAAAGTTTCTCTTGCCCTGGAAACCCTTTCACTGGCTGGGAGGTCCCACAGGGCAGATGGTGTGCTGGAGGGCCTGGACCCTGAGAGGAGTGTGCAGGTGCTAGCTTGCTGGCAATCAGGGCAGAGAGAGACTGGTACTTACAGCTACCATGTCATCACACTTTCCAGCCCAAAATATGTGCTGCTAGTATGTTTTAGCAGATAGATCCTAGAAGAAGTTCAGTTGCATGAAGATACCCTGAGGGCCTGGAGTGTGGTCCAGGCCACCATTG